ATGTGAAACAATGTTCCGTCCATACTTCTAATTGACAAATTATGTTGATATTCAATTCTGGATATCTATAGGGTTACAGTGATGCTTTATTATATAGCTAATTCATTTCTAATGTAGATAATCAAATTCCACCATCTAAGATAACTGAAAAGTATTCTTTTGTAATCAATAGTGTATGGAATGAATATAATACATCCAATTTAAAGAGAGCTATACATTTTTCTCTTTAAAATAATTTAAAAAATTTTTAAATTAGGCTACATTTTTTGTTTGCTTCTATGAAAAAGATTGAGACTTGAGTTTTTTCAAATTATTTTAACCAAGGAGAAAAATTAACCGTAATATTGTTAAAGTTGCTGTTTCATAAATAAATATTCATTAGACATTAATAAATATATATATCCTCAGTTTAGGCAAAAATGTCCATTATTTTTAGATATGACAAAAATACTTGTTACAAATTGTTTTTTTGCATTTTTATAGAACTGAATAAAAACTGTAAAATTTAATAATTTATGCAAATTTATATTTATAAATTCATGCATCTGTACAGATTCCATAGTATTAAATATATGTATATTTAATAATATGGAATCTGTACAGTTATTGCATAAGTTAATAAACATAGACCTATTCAAATATTTTGCAATCTGGGAAATTAAGTGTGCTTAATCATATAATTATAAATATTTCTGCTGTTCGTGTATTTCAAATTTCTATATATGAAATTATTGTAAAGCTTGAAAAGAATTCTTGTAAAGATTCATAATTTTTTTGCTAAAGATTAAATACATCTACTACTGTATTTTAAGTTACATTCTTTTATTTATTTATTTTTCTTTGGAGTAAACAGGTTTTCTAACTATATTATATTTTTGTTTAGAAGATTCACAACTATTATTTGAATCAAAAGATATCCTTTTATTTTGGTTTTTTGAAATGTGTCTTCAAAGAATGAATTGTAGAGAAAAAGTTCATTCATCAGATGTATATACTACTGTTTATTGTTACTTGGAAGTAGATAGTAAGCCTTTATCATTTAGTTGAGAGTATACTTTATTTTGCTATTATTAGTTTGTTAAATAAAAACAAAACTCAGTATTTGTTTGTCATTATGTTAATGTGATAGTTTTGTTTTACTAATTAACATAGACATGGTTGTTTTTATTGCTGTCAATTTTATAATTATAATTTTTGCTTTGCTTTAAAAAAAAAATTTCATATCATTCATTTTATTCCGATCAACCAATCAAACCCATTGCTTCAAATGATTAACAATAGAATGGACTAATTAAATCAGTTTTCTAAATTTTAAATTGAAATTCTATGTAATTTTGAAATATAGTTCTAGAATTTTATTCTAGAATAATATTGTTTATACAAATGTTTAAAAAAATTTGATATTCTATAGATCATTAATATATTTCTGTGACGTCAAAATTTAATATGGTGTAATTTAATGTTAATTATAGATTAGTACTATCTAAATATTTTCAAGTTTAGTTTTTAATAGGGTACAAATATTAAATTTGAATGAACAAAATAAAGAAAAACGAACATACTTATATTGATACTTTAGTGTGTGTGTACATATATTTGTCATTTTAATAACACTTCATATATTATATAGCTGCTTAAGATAGGCATACCTTGATCTAACTAATCTAAATTTTTACGTATAGTATGCTAGATGTAATAGTATGGATCACAAATATGTATGATGATTTCATTTAGATTATGATGAATGAACCGAATCTGATCCTTAAACAGATTATTATGTTAAATTGTTTTTTCTTCACTACATAAAATTAATATGGTATTGTACTTTTTGTACATAAGTATCCTTTTTAGGTTTTCACAACTGACGTGCCTGTCATTGGAATAAATATCATTTAAATCAATGCATTAATTTGTTTCTATAACAACAATAAAGACCTTTTTACAAAATATTAAATATTTTGCTGCGTCTACGGCATTTAATGGATCTCGTCCCACGTGAATTTCATTTTCTTAAACTAAAATTCTGAGTGGATGCCAATTTTTAAATACATTACTAATGATGTCAAGGTCACTGTGTCTGAAACAATAACATTATATTAAAAATTAGTTTTTAGTTAGTTTTATTTAGCATTTACATAAGAGATGTTTTGAAAACAAAAAATCATGCTATTAGGCTTCAAAAAGAATGCAAATTTAAGTATTTCAGTTTTTTTTTAAATTCCAAAAATTTTTGCCTCCTCTTTGTAGCTTTTTGAAATCTTTCAAATGAATAAAAATGATAAATTGGATGANACGTTTGAATCGATTATACATTAATTAAAAAGGTAAACTTACCATCCAAAATTGGTTGCAAGGAAAACCTAATACGGTAAAACCGTTATAAGTTTCTTGTAGTGCATTCAGTTGGCCGTAGTGCCAAGTGAAACCTCAGTAAGTGGCCACATTGACGATTAAAACAACTTGACCTCGAAACTGCGACAAACTTATGTTTTTCGTTTCGAAAAGGTTCGGTATTGTGAAGTTGTAGATAGAAGCTTCACTATAAGATGATTGGAAACACGAACGACTGTCAACCCTTCTATCCGCGTAGCCCAGTCCCGCTAGGACCGCACAGGATAGGAAAGCTGCCCATAAACCCATGACTGGGCAAGCTGACCTTTCACTCTCCTCTCTAACATTTACTGATAGTGCGGTTCATATAACTAAAAAAATATCCAATCACCATCACTGGCTGTGATGAGTAAACATACATCTACATTATTTTCTAGCATCTCTTTAAATAGGTCTAATATTATAAACAAATTTTTAAATTCACGTAGTATTAAAGACGTGAAGCTTTAATTTTAATAAATTATTTTCCTTCTAATTCAACTATAAATATACCTTCTTGTTTATGCCAAACGCTCCCACCCTACTGTATTCTAAAAATATAGCATAATTATCAATTTATTATTAAAAATCGACACTTATCCTGTCGCCATTTTATTAATGTATTAAAATAATTTACATACAGTACATTGGGGCCTTATCCTATGGGCAAAAAAAAAGAGCAATTTCCCATTAACAAGAGGCCCAAACCAATTTTTTTAAAGAAAATATTTGAATTAGGGGGTGCCCCATGTAATGTCAATGCATTACATGGGGCACCCCCTAATTCAAATTGGCTTGGATCTCACGAAGTTATAACGCGCAACTGATACAGTATTATGATAATTGGCCTGTATTTAATTTCCATCGCTTAGTTACAAGCCGATAATATTTAAATGTGTTTAAAAATTTAAGTTTATGGGGATTAAAGTTTTAGCGTGACGATAATATCAATTTTATTAGTTAAAGTAAATGATCGATAACCTTCCCTTGAACTGTAGATCCAATAGTTTATTTCACAAGAAAATACCTCTTACGATATGCTAACTGATATGTTACCACTAAAACTTTCAAGTCTTTAACTCGAATATTAATTATCCAAATATTATTAATTAATAATTAAATATAATTTTTAACTGATTAAATTGCATTTGTGAACTTAAAAAAAAATTGTTCTTCATAAAAAATTGTATATAGGCCTATAGGCTATATATAAACAATATAAAATAAACATTATAAACAGAATCTGATCTAACCTAAGTTCGTTAAGATAAAATATTGTTTCTATTTAAATGATTTTTATTATATACAGTCGACCCCCCCATAGCACTGTTAATTATTCCGTTTTATATGAATTCCATATTGTACGAGTCACTTAGATTTTACAAATACGTGAGCCGTTTACAGCCCGGCACACGTATTTGTAAAATCTAAGTGACTCGTACAACATGGAATTCATATAAAACGGAATAATCAATAGTGTTATAAGGGGTCGACTGTATATAGGAAAGTTAACATTAAAATTTTCGAGGAAAAATAGAATTTAAAAACGAGAATTTTTCAGGACTAAATGATTTTTTTGATGAGATTTTAATAGGAAAAAAATTAAATAAAATAAATAAATTCATTTTTTACAATGGAGAAAACTTTCAAAAAATTAAAACGTGGAAGTGAATTTAATAATTACTTTTCGGGAATGTCAAAATTGAATTATTAATTATTTTCGGCAGAAATTTTCTCTCTAAAATTCAATATAGTTCTAATACAATACGGGCTTTTTGATATATAAATTAAAATTCTTACTTTTTAATAAAAATTCTGTTTAATTAATAAATTAAATTTCGGTGTTTAGTTTATAAAAACGTAAAATCTAAAGTCTAAAATCTCTAAAAAATATGATCTATTCATATATTTTCATCGAATTTAAAATGCTTTTCTGGTTCAATGTACCTCATCTTTTCCTATGCAATCAGATAGTCAAATGCAAAGCTGCATGACTATTTTCGTTTCAAACAAAGGAAAAAATATTTTCCATCTCAATTAACATATTGGTTGCATACAAAAAAAAAAAAAAGATTCATATACCTTAATAATAACTCATAATTACAATCAAATAGGCTTTTACAACATAATAAAGTGCATATAATGTATTTTTAGATCTTCTTACCGCAGGATTTATTCGGAGAGAGATCTGTCCCGAATATATCGGGCCTCGGCCCCCCGTTTTGTGCCCGACAGAACCCATAATGGGATCTTTGTGCCCCACGGGGTGAAGCGGAGTCGGGGAAAAAAGAGCGTTCTATCAGAATCGGAACACATTTACAGATAAAATAAGGCGTAAAATGGTTTATTAATACATAAATTATAAAAATTCAATTTTTAAAATTTATTATTAATCGATTGAAGCTTGAATTAAAAAAAAAAAGAGTATATTTTATTATAGAAATTTCACTGCAAATAGTAAAACACGCGCTACTTTAAAACAAACGTAAATAAAATAAAAACGATCATTTTGATTGGTTTAACGTAATTAAGTCAAGAACGACTATTGGCTGAATTCGGAGTGGCATAGATATTTATTTTTTAGTTACCGAATTGTGTTACTTTTTTTAGAGGGCGTTCTTTCTCACCAGAGAGCGCTGACCCGTCAAAAAACAATGGCGACGAATTTAAGAGAAAGTACTCGTGTCGCGTGGTGATGGTGGGCGAAAGGTCGAAACGTAGAGAGACTAGGATCGATTTGGGTGCGAAAATGTCAGGTAGAAGGCATCGGAGGGATAAAACGGAAATAAGTTGCTGCCTGAAGTATTTAATATTCGGATTTAACGTCATCTTCTGGGTGAGTCCCTTTTGTGTGTGTGTGTGGGTCGCACGAGCTTTTTCGTGTTTAAAGGCTTCATACGGCGCGACTGGTGTGTCAGTTTCTTTGTGGGTCTGACATTGAATGGCATTCATCCGCTCTTAATGATGACAATTACTAGATTTAAAGTGCATTAGTCTGGAGTTCAATGATAGTTTATGTTAATTGAACTAAAAAATGTAATAGATAAAGAGGTTTTTTTAATTAAATTTGGCGAAGTTTGGAAGAAATTAGGTCTACTGCAATAAATTTAAAATGCCTGTAATTATCGTATATAATAGCATTGAATCACTATTCTCGAAAATAGAACAAATAACTATTTCTAGGTAATTTTAAAAAGAAATGGTTCAAATTTCCACTTTTGCAATGTAACACTAACGAATTACATTTGCTGTGACTTAGGATATGATGTAATTATACCAATAAATGAAATTAACAACGACAATTTTCGTACTAGGTCATTATTTATAGAGTATATATATAATTTTTTAAAACTTAGTCATTCTGTTATTCATACAGGATTTTGAGTTGAAGTTATTTTTTAATAATTTGTACATGTATAATGTGTGTAAAAAAATGCGTGAAATGTCTGTCTCTGTAGATGTTTCAATTATTTATTTTTAAACGAAAGATATACTATTAATTAATGGTTCCTTTTAATAATCCAATTTATAATTGTGGAAGTGATAAAGTATGCTCTGTGTTTCCATGCAAATAAGAGCATGCTCTTATATGTGAAATTGCTTTGTTTTTGCTTTGCTTATAAGGGCGTACCTCGTGCATAAGTGCGTTCTTGTACATGTGGCTTGTTTTGGCTTATAAGAGCGTATTGCTGTCGTGTTGGTGTAAACTAAATATAACGATATAGTAACTATTTGGTGACATTTCTGTGGTAACCGTTATTAAAATTAAAAAACCAAAAATAGAAAAATGCTCTTATGTATGTGTTCAGAAATATGGTAAGTAGATGAAGACTTACAAATAACTGGTGAAGTTTAAAACTTACTACCTAAATTACATTTGTTTAATTTTGTTTGTTGCACTCTTACGAAGTTCATACGTTTAATATTTACACTTTTGTGTTGTTAGTTTATTAACGAATTTAGTCACATAATTACAAAAAAAAAATTGCAAACTTTATATTATTTTAATATTTGTATAGTACTGTACATTTATTTCTAATTTGTTAGACAATTTATTCTAAAGAAACTTTTTATAAAGAGCCAAATTATTATTGCTATTTTTTATTGTGTGTGTCGATTTTATATTTTTGAATAATAAAAATGTATGTGTTGGATAGTTTTCTGTCAGTGTGAGATAACAGCACAGTATGAGCAATTACATGTTGCCATATAACCTTTGACTGGGAGTGGCCCAAAATTGGATTGGCAAACATGATGGAGATGGGAAAACCCATGTGAAACAATGTTCCGTCCATACTTCTAATTGACAAATTATGTTGATATTCAATTCTGGATATCTATAGGGTTACAGTGATGCTTTATTATATAGCTAATTCATTTCTAATGTAGATAATCAAATTCCACCATCTAAGATAACTGAAAAGTATTCTTTTGTAATCAATAGTGTATGGAATGAATATAATACATCCAATTTAAAGAGAGCTATACATTTTTCTCTTTAAAATAATTTAAAAAATTTTTAAATTAGGCTACATTTTTCGTTTGCTTCTATGAAAAAGATTGAGACTTGAGTTTTTTCAAATTATTTTAACCAAGGAGAAAAATTAACCATAATATTGTTAAAGTTGCTGTTTCATAAATAAATATTCATTAGACATTAATAAATATATATATCCTCAGTTTAGGCAAAAATGTCCATTATTTTTAGATATGACAAAAATACTTGTTACAAATTGTTTTTTTGCATTTTTATAGAACTGAATAAAAACTGTAAAATTTAATAATTTATGCAAATTTATATTTATAAATTCATGCATCTGTACAGATTCCATAGTATTAAATATATGTATATTTAATAATATGGAATCTGTACAGTTATTGCATAAGTTAATAAACATAGACCTATTCAAATATTTTGCAATCTGGGAAATTAAGTGTGCTTAATCATATAATTATAAATATTTCTGCTGTTCGTGTATTTCAAATTTCTATATATGAAATTATTGTAAAGCTTGAAAAGAATTCTTGTAAAGATTCATAATTTTTTTGCTAAAGATTAAATACATCTACTACTGTATTTTAAGTTACATTCTTTTATTTATTTATTTTTCTTTGGAGTAAACAGGTTTTCTAACTATATTATATTTTTGTTTAGAAGATTCACAACTATTATTTGAATCAAAAGATATCCTTTTATTTTGGTTTTTTGAAATGTGTCTTCAAAGAATGAATTGTAGAGAAAAAGTTCATTCATCAGATGTATATACTACTGTTTATTGTTACTTGGAAGTAGATAGTAAGCCTTTATCATTTAGTTGAGAGTATACTTTATTTTGCTATTATTAGTTTGTTAAATAAAAACAAAACTCAGTATTTGTTTGTCATTATGTTAATGTGATAGTTTTGTTTTACTAATTAACATAGACATGGTTGTTTTTATTGCTGTCAATTTTATAATTATAATTTTTGCTTTGCTTTAAAAAAAAAATTTCATATCATTCATTTTATTCCGATCAACCAATCAAACCCATTGCTTCAAATGATTAACAATAGAATGGACTAATTAAATCAGTTTTCTAAATTTTAAATTGAAATTCTATGTAATTTTGAAATATAGTTCTAGAATTTTATTCTAGAATAATATTGTTTATACAAATGTTTAAAAAAATTTGATATTCTATAGATCATTAATATATTTCTGTGACGTCAAAATTTAATATGGTGTAATTTAATGTTAATTATAGATTAGTACTATCTAAATATTTTCAAGTTTAGTTTTTAATAGGGTACAAATATTAAATTTGAATGAACAAAATAAAGAAAAACGAACATACTTATATTGATACTTTAGTGTGTGTGTACATATATTTGTCATTTTAATAACACTTCATATATTATATAGCTGCTTAAGATAGGCATACCTTGATCTAACTAATCTAAATTTTTACGTATAGTATGCTAGATGTAATAGTATGGATCACAAATATGTATGATGATTTCATTTAGATTATGATGAATGAACCGAATCTGATCCTTAAACAGATTATTATGTTAAATTGTTTTTTCTTCACTACATAAAATTAATATGGTATTGTACTTTTTGTACATAAGTATCCTTTTTAGGTTTTCACAACTGACGTGCCTGTCATTGGAATAAATATCATTTAAATCAATGCATTAATTTGTTTCTATAACAACAATAAAGACCTTTTTACAAAATATTAAATATTTTGCTGCGTCTACGGCATTTAATGGATCTCGTCCCACGTGAATTTCATTTTCTTAAACTAAAATTCTGAGTGGATGCCAATTTTTAAATACATTACTAATGATGTCAAGGTCACTGTGTCTGAAACAATAACATTATATTAAAAATTAGTTTTTAGTTAGTTTTATTTAGCATTTACATAAGAGATGTTTTGAAAACAAAAAATCATGCTATTAGGCTTCAAAAAGAATGCAAATTTAAGTATTTCAGTTTTTTTTTAAATTCCAAAAATTTTTGCCTCCTCTTTGTAGCTTTTTGAAATCTTTCAAATGAATAAAAATGATAAATTGGATGAATTTTTATTAATTCTAATATAATAATTACATAAAATTAACATTCAAATATACATTTTAATAATTTTAAAATGCCATAAAAATTTTAAAATAATAGAATTTTAACTAACAAGTAAACATCAAATTAACATACTGTATATGACAACTGACAGATTACATCATAGATCCTTGAAATGAGGGATGAGCTAATATGATGTTTTTCACTATTAATAGCTATTAAGTGTAAAAATAATAAAGCAATTAATAAAACATTTATGTAAAAAAATCTTGAAGTGTATTATATTTCACTGCATATGAGATGCATGGACTTTTAACTTCCTTAAATTATTTTATAATAAGAATATTTTATTTTCTCTGTTATACAATGAAGTTTAAATTTGTTTACTATTTCTTTTTGTTTAAATAAAATTTTATTTAAGATTGTAGTAGGAAAAGAAAAACTGATAGGTGATTAAAGTCACTTTCATCAGGTTTAATATGACTCTATAAAAATAATCCAAAGCTTCCTTCTAGGAATGAGAAAAACTTTAATGCTTTTAGGAATCTTTTTTCATCTTCAGAAAAGAAAGAAAAAAAGATCATTACAGGGTAGAAATTGTTTTAATTTCAAACACTTTAAAGTTCTGAAAATAAATTAAAAATTTTTAAATTGGCTAAAAATTAAGATAAAATTAATAGGAATATTAAAGTAAAACAAAATTTAAACTGTCTTGATGTTAAATAATCCTCATATTTAATAGGAAATAGTACACTGCAAACATACACTTTTATGGATACTTTAGATAATTAACACATAATCAGATGTTAGGAACAAAAATAGAATAAGAACTATAATTTTTTGAGTTTTGGTTTCATTTTATTATTACTGATTACCATGTTTCTGTAATAGCTTTATTTTAATAAAACTTTTTTAAAACTTATTAATACTTTATTAGTATATTTCTTAATTTNTTTTTATGTATTTTAAGAAATTAAATGTAAAATAAATTTGCTCACGGGTGTTGATTTCTCTTTAATAATAATAATAATAAGTTAGTGGCATTACGTAATTCTATTAATAGTATCATATCATACGTTATTAAGGGGAATAACATTTTGATGTGACGTGTTGAGACATGTCGAGTCGTGGGTGTGCCGCGAATAGAAAAAGCTTGCTGAACACTGCACTAGGCTGACACCGTAATTTCCTTTACCTCTGTCCGTCTGTTCCCCAAAATTTTCGGACTACCGTCTCTTTAGTGTATATAAATTATATATATATATAAACTGTAGACC